AGCTTATTTCAGATATCTTGAAAGGAAAAGCAAACAAAATACACAATTCAAATGATGGAATCACTAAGATCAAAGAAGCTATACATCGTATACGTGTACTTATTGTCTTAGACGATGTGGATGATTCGAAAAAAATAACTAAAATAATTGGAGGGCAAATTCCTTTTCATCCAGGAATTAAAATCATCATAACTAGCAGGTATTGATGTCTACTGACTGATCCTTTTATTAGGCACATGTTTGATTTTTAAGTATCATCAAGTTTTGGAGACTTATGCAAGGTAATTGAGGTAAAAGAATTAGCTTTCAATGAATCCTTTCAACTTTTTAATTGGTATTCCTTCGGACAGAATGATCCAATTGATAGTTATATGGAATATGCAAGGAGTATTGTGAAACACCGTGGTGGGCTTCCATTAGCTCTTCAAGTTTTAGGTTCTTCTTTGTCCGGTAAAAGTATAAATGTGTGGAAAAGTGCACTAGAGAAATTGAAAGCAATCCCTGATAACAAAATTCAAAAGATTTTAAGAATAAGCTATGATTCCTTGCAAGATGATCATGATAAAAATCTATTCCTTGGCATAGCTTGTGTATTCGTTGGGAAGTATAGAGATTACACAACTACAATTCTAGATGGTTGTAATTACTGTACAGCAATTGGTATTGAAAATCTCATAAATAGGTTTCTTCTAGTTGTTAATGAAAAAAACAAGCTAATAATGCATCAAATTATTAGAGATATGGGAAGGAATGTTATTCGTCAAGAATCTCCTGATCTTGCAAAACGAAGTAGGTTGTGGCATAAGGATGCATTTGATGCATTGAGAGAGAAAATTGTAAGAAAGACTTCATTTTCTTCTACTGCTTTTTATGCTATATATTTTCTTATGTTATACTTTTTTTTAACTAAATCATTCTTTCTCCAACAGGGTGCAAAAACAATCAAGTGCCTTACCATTGACCTACAAAGATTGCTGGAAGAGAAGTATGGAAACACAGTTGCAAATCAAAAAAATCCACTTCTCATGTCAAATGAGGTAAATATAGAAATTGATGCATTTGCAAAGATGCAAAGACTTAAACTACTTCAACTGGGCTATGTAAAACTTAAAGGAGACTACAAAGACTTTCCAAAAGGCTTAATAAGGTTGAGTTGGTATGGTTTTGCTCAAGAATGTCTTCCTACAGATTTAGATATTTCCAAACTTGTTGTTCTTGAGATGTGCAATAGTAGCCTCAAACGAGTTTGGAATGATTCAAAGGCGTGATACTATTTAATTTCTCTTTACTTTTTGTGAAGCAAAAACAAAATTATATGACTAAGTGTTTTTTTTCTTTTTCTATAGTACTTTCTTCCAAATTTGAAGATCTTTAATCTCAGTCACTCCCATGGCCTTCTCAAAATCCTTAACCTATCAGGTCTTCATAGTCTTGAAAGGTTGATGCTGAAACATTGCATAAAGTTGATTGAGGTTGGTCAATCCATTGGTGAGATAAAGTCTCTTACTGTTTTAAACCTTAAAGGTTGCAAAAGTCTTAAGAAACTTCCAAGGACAATTGGTTTGTTAGAATCTTTGGAAGAGCTTATTTTATCTGGTTGCTCAACATTTGATGATGTGCCTAGGGATTTGCAGTATATGAAGTCATTAAAGGTGCTTAGCTTAGATGGAACTGCTATATATGAATCCAATTCTTTGTTGTCCTGGCTATCACTAAAAAGAAGCAAAGAGTTAGGTTTCTTTTGGGCATCTTTGCCATGTTCTTTGGTAAAGTTGAGTATTGAAAGTTGCAGACTATCTGATGATGTTATGTCCACTGATTTAAGCTACTTACCTTCCTTGAAATCGTTAAATTTAAGTAGAAACCCAATTCATAGCCTTCCTAAGAGCATTATCCGCGTTACAAAGCTTGACGAACTTCTGCTGACTTGTTGCAAAGAGCTCCAATGGCTTCCAACGAGTGGCTTGCATGTGATAATGTCTCAATCGTTGCGCAGAATTTCAAGTCTGCCATGCTTATTAAATTTGAAAAAGTGTATCTTCTTTGGGTGTGAAAAGTTAATTGAGGTTGAAGGTGTGTTAAAGTTGGAACCAGTTGAAAACTTTGAAGTGGAATAGATTGAAAGCTTATTCAATATGGACTCGATTGGAAGCATTGAATTGCAAATTTATAACTATCTTACGGACACAAAAATGGCCACTACCACTCAGGTCTTTTCTCAATCTACTATAACTTTTTAGTTTCTTATTTTACATTATTCTGTACTTTCCTAAATAATAGTTTCAATGTTTCAGGTATTTCATGAGGGTCGCATAACTAGTTGTTTTGTTTCTAGAAGTGGAGTTCCAATCTCGTTTGAGCATCACTGTAAGGGATCTAAAATTTATTTTTCATTACCACAAAATCTTGGTGAAAAGGTTAGTTGGTTGAACTTATGCGTATATTGTTAACGAAACCAAGGAGTTGATGTGGCCTTATTTATCAAATTTCATTGGAATTCCTAAAACCAAAAATAACACAATCTTATGGCTAATCCACTGGCCAATAAAAGACTATCAGATAGAAAATGGCAACTTGGTGAGCTGCAAAATACTGTCTTCTGGTTTGGACATAAAAGAATTTGGTGTTACATATGTATCAGAGAAGAAGGCTATATATGAAGATGACTCCCAACTATACTATCAAGGTACGATTGCAAGCAATAGTATTTATAAGAACCCTTTTTTGACTTTACTTTTTATATCAATAGTTTTATTTATAAGTAGTTATCTTCATGGATATTTTTTAATATTAATCTATTAATTTTTTAAAACCAAAAACAAATTTATATATTCACCGGATTATATCTAAGCATGAACTTTTTATCGAATCAAGCAATTTAACTAGTAACCCAGCAAAGTTAATTATATTTTGTAATTAATTTGATTATTCAAAATTTTAGGTCATAGTTACTTATGTTGAGATTTTTTACACTTGTAAAATACATAAAAAGAATATATAAGAAAGTATATTTGATGATTTTAAATTAAATAAAAATGAAATGAGAGTGCATCACCTTGGCTCATGACCCAAGAAGAAAAGTTAGAAGACAGTCCTCATGCTTGACGTTGCTAGTAAATACAATCAAGCGCCAAACTTTCCATCTAGGCTTGAATGCTCCGCTCAATTGGGCTCGGACTCAAGCTCAGACTTCAATTTCTAGGATCAAATTCAATTCGAAGATACTATTTTAATAAAAATATATATTTATAGAGCTTTTATTTTTATATTTAAATTTATTTAAAATATTAATATAAAAATATTTTTAATATTTAAAATAATAAATAGTAAAATAAATAGGACTTGTTGCCCAAGCTTAAGGTTTTGAATCGTTAATTAGACTTGGTCTATCCTACAACAACTATATATGCTTGCTTTAGGTCAATATAATTTATAAATCACTTTAGGTTAAGTATAGCCATAAATATAATAAGAACAGATGATGTTAGGATTGTTGGACTACACAATGTTGTAAGGTTTTGTTCTTTTTAGGGCCTACACTAATGATATTATCATTTTGAAAAAAAAGGAACCTTGTGAGGGAACATGCCCTTATTTATAAAGCAAAATCCAATCTTTGGCTCTTAAAGATGTGGATCCTAGCTTTTTGAAAAAAAAAAAAAGATATGAAATCTCTTCCTCTCGACGCTAATCCCCAATCAAGAGTAGATTATGTTTTCTTTGAAGGGCAAAGTATGGGAGTCTCACAAACAAAGCCACTTGTTAATGTTAGAGTTGTTGGATTGCGTTCGATTATGAGATATTATCCATTTTAAAATCCACTATTGTGATTTTGTTCTTTTAAGAAAGGACACCTCATAGGGCCCTTACTTATAAGTCTGCAATAATTATATAATTATTGTAATATAAAAATATTAGGATTATATGATTAAAATTCTCATTAATATATGTTTCTTGATTACGTGACATGTGAATACCAAGACTTACTCAATTTGAGTTGTAATGGAGATGTTAAAATGCAAATTCAAAATTATTTAGAGAAATAACAAATGATTAAATTCCTCTGAGGTTCCTTTTGATAACATATTTGATC